CCGTATTAATTTCGGTTGCCCCCATCCATCCCACCCGTCCTCCATTTTCTTGATCGCCGTGCAGAGCTCAATCCACCCGAGAGTATACTGCTGCTGCTGCCGCTCCTCTGCCTACCTGCTAGTTGGGGCGCTTGCTACCACCCTCCTGTCCGGCGATTCCAGTTGGAGGAGTAGCCTGTAGTCTCTTCTCTTCAATGCGAGGACAAGGCATCGGCGGTGGGAGGAGCAGTGGTCAAGCTCGGTCCCCGTCGCTGTCCTCGAAAGCGAACTTCTTGGCGACCAGCAGCAAGGAAGCGGAGGAGAGGAGGGATATAATGGCCACCACGGAAGGTATCCTTCTTCTTCAACCTCCATGCCAGACTCTGGTGCTGAGGGCGCAGTATTTTTCTACTTCTCTTTTCCTCTCTGCTTTCCTGCTTCCGTCCGTCCGGCGATGCCGGTGGGGCCATGACGAAACTCTGGGAGTTCTTCTTGCTTGAACCTGCAGGCGGCGGCGGCGGCGGCGGCGGAGGAGGAGCAGCAGAGAGGGCGGAGGATCCTCTCCCTGGCTCCGGCGAGGAAGGTGAGCGCCGTGGCCACTGATTGATTACTTTCCTCTGCTGCCCCGGCGTGAGTAATTAGCCGGATCCTCTGCTTCCTCCTCTGATTCTCCTGCCTCGCCAGGCAGATTGCAGAATCCCTCCTTTTTTTAGTATTCTCTAAATAAATTCAAGCTGTTTTTGTTTGTTCCCTTGTTCATTTCAACCAATCAAGGACTTAATTCGTGTTATTACCACACCTGTTCCAGTCCAAGAACTGACAGAGTTTAGTCTTTCTGAAGTTTTTTAGTATTCTCGTGCTTCGGTTATAAGCAGATGCAGAATCTCTTTTTTAGTAATCAAATTTAAGCTATTTTTTTGCCCCATTTCAACCCTCAAGAGTTCCAATTTGTGTCAACACACGTGTTCCAGGACTGACGGAGAGTTTAGTCTTTTTTGGAGAGATTATTGATGTCAGTTTGGGATCCTGGCCCTGTTTCTAACAGTTTTATATATTAGGCTGAGCCATCTGCCGCATCTCTCCGAATAAAAGACTGATGGCATGTCAAATTCCCCCAAATTTAATTTACCTCATTTCAATCCCAAGAATTGAATTTGTGCCAGCCACAGCACGTGCTCCAAGGACTGACCAAGAGCTTAGTCTTTTTTGAAGAGAATCAAGATATTATTAATGTCAGTTTTCGGATCCTGGCCCTGTTTGCAACTGTTTTAAATTCCCTCAGCATGTCAAATTCCCCCAAATTTCCCATCCCCTACCAAAATCCCTGAAGTTGACATCCACATTTCTTTATCAATCGGCACCCACTTGATCCTTTTGCAAATAGACCAATCCTATATGTCCCTGCATGGGTGAATTCCATTCCATTCCGTTCCGTTCCGTTCCAGCCTTGGACGTGGTAGGCGCAAGGAAAGCATCAGCTTTGGAGGGGCGCAGGGTGGTGCAGATGTCAATTTGTTAGGGGGCGGGGATCCCTGCATGGGGTTGGCAAATCAACATGGCAGCATGTGCTTTTCATCGCCGAACCAGAGGAGCACAAACGTCCCCCTATCATGAATCATGATGGAATCGAATGGAAAAATAGAATAGGGCCTTGCGTGTGACAATGATTTGTACCTTGCGGCGACGGGCAGCGGGCTTTGTCTTGTTTTCCATGGCTGGTGGCTTGTTTTGTCCATGAATAAGACTCCCAGTTTTGTTGCCATGCAGACTTGTTATGGCTGCTCCTGCTGATTTGTGTAAATCTTGTTTTTTTGTCTGTCTGGTTAGTGCAAGCTGTGGCCCAGGAAGAGAGCAGGAGAAGCTCCGGTGAAACTGCCGATGCGGGCTGCGGCAACAGCGGGTTGGTAGCTGATGCCGCTGTGCCGAGCGAAGATCCAAGTGAGGGGCACAGCAGTGAGAGCAGCAGTAGCCAGTGCGCTGGTTCTGATGGAGATGACAAAGAGGTGCCTGAAATGTACTCCAAGAGCGGCGGCAACGACGAAAACAGCGAGTGCACCGACCAGAGCTCTCCCCGCGCGGTGCTGGACATATCGGTGTCCGGCAGCGTGGACTCCGACGAGAGCTCCTCTGTCGAGCAGCCGGCGGTGCCCAGCCGCAGCGTGCAGCCGCTGCAGTGGAGGAACCTGATCAGCGGGCTAATACTCAGCAGGAAGAAGCTGATGGCCAGAGCGGTGACGTTCCCTCAGCGGTCCAAGAGCACGGGGCTTAAAAGGTACCTGGGGAGGATGCGGAGCGGCAAGAACCAGATGGACTGCAGCGCCATCGCCCCGGAGATCTTCCCCGAGATCGAGAAGTGGAGGCCATCATGGAGGAGCTTTGACTACGATGAGCTCTGCGCTGCAACTGACAGATTCAGTTCAGGTAACATGCATGCAACACTAACTCCTATGTTGCTGTAATTCAGTGCCCTTGATAATTGGGCTCCGTTACTATCATTGCAAAGCTTGTGGGATGTGGCTTTGCGGTAAAGAAATGGGTTTATAATTGTACTGCCATGATTTCTCCGAGTATAAAGAGGGTTTGAGGTCCTAATCATGAACTGTTCCTTAGGTTAATGATGGTTGTTACTGGTAAGCTAGTTGGAAAATTCTAGTACCAGACCACATTATTGTCATCAGTTATCACTCTGTACTGGTTTCTTTAGCTTGTCCAGTTTTCAAGATTGTGGTACCTCCAACAATTGTGACCATATGATGTGGAAACCTAACAGCTCTGTTTCTTCCTTCCAAATACTTGGGAGTACAAGTACCATTATTGGCCAGAATTTAATTACTCTTCTGTATCTTCATTATCTCTAAACATTTTTGCCTGACATCTGAATGTACGATATTACTAGATAATTTGATCGGAAAGGGAGGGCACGCTGAGGTGTACAAAGGACAGCTTGCTGATGGACAGTTTGTGGCGGTGAAGAGGTTAACAAAAGGCGGCAACAAGGAGGACAGGATCAGCGATTTCCTGTCCGAGCTTGGAATAATAGCGCACGTCAACCACCCAAACGCGGCACAGCTCTTGGGGTTCAGTGTGGAAGGGGGCTTGCACCTGGTTCTTCAGTTCTCACCACATGGAAGCTTGGCTTCTCTTCTCCATGGTACAGCCCTCTGAACAATTTGTTAGTTAGGCAATGAATGATACAATTGACTTGTCGCGGTGGCTTCCAAAAAAGGGAGAAATAGAGCAAATATCTTGACATGTACGCCAACACAACGTAAACATTTAAAAAGTATCTTAAATGCTGATGTCCGTTGAGTGCATATTAAGCTCATAATTTGCATTTATGTATACTTATTGAATCATCACTTCATGTAGTACTTCTTCAGTTGAAAACATATGCATGATCATAAGAACCGCCCTTTTCTAATGAAAAGGACCATTTAAAAGAGGTGCTGTCAGTCTAGTGATAAATGGAGCTTACCTGATCAGGTGCAAAGGGAGGCCTCAGGTGGAAGGCCCGGTTCAATATCGCACTTGGAATTGCTGAAGGGCTATTTTATCTACACGAAGGCTGCCACCGGCACATAATTCACAGGGACATCAAGGCTTCAAATATTCTTTTAACTGAAGATTATCAACCTCAAGTACTAATTCTACTGCTAGCCTGTTACACTAGCCCCACCCCCGTTCTAATATTCCTGATGATGTAAACTGATGCATTTTTTTGCTCTCTCGTTGCACAGATCTCAGATTTTGGCCTTGCGAAGTGGCTTCCTGACAAATGCACCCATCAGGTTGTATTCCCCATTGAAGGCACATTCGGGTGAGTTTGATATGTTTCTGAATACTGCTTCATGTTCATGATGACTTCATAGTTCCCAGTAGACTGGCTGCTTGCATCAGTTGATGCAGAGCCCAGAGCTTTCCTCCTTTTTTAAAAAAATAAAGAGAAAAAATCTTCCAAGTGGACCAGAACAATGTTTCATGTTATTTCAACTTTGATTTTACCCCCTTCTACAGTTATATGGCCCCAGAGTACTTCATGCATGGGATCATAAATGAGAAGACAGACGTGTTTGCATACGGAGTATTGCTTCTTGAATTAGTGACAGGGCGGAAAGCCGTGGACTCTTCGAGACAAAGCCTGGTGATATGGGTTAGTATAGCAGATTCCTCTGATATACTTCATCACAAGTAGATTCAATTAGCTCTCTGAATATTATTGTTTGAACATATAAATATAGCAAACTGACTCAACTGTAAGTTAAGAATATGTATGGAAAACATAAAGAAAGATAGTTACGTGCTTCTGGAATCCTTTGAATTAATAAAATTTTCTTGATCATCTCGAAGGCGAAACCGCTGCTCGAGTCAAACAACATGAAGGGGCTGGTGGATCCTTCTCTTGATGTTGGATATGACCCAGAAGAGATGGCACTCACCCTGGCAGTGGCATCCATGTGCATCCACCACAGCGCAAACTTGCGGCCTAGCATGAAATCGGTGAGTGATTTGGGTGCACCTGTCGCCTCGATCGCAGAATGAACACTGTAAACTGATGAAGTGACGCGTTTGGTTGCAGGTGGTCCGTTTCATGAAGGGGGATAGGGAATCACTCGAACTGATGGGAAAGCCTAAACCCACAAAGCCCCCAATGTTCGACTCCTGTGATTCAGAGGACTACACTCGTACGAGTTACCTCAATGATCTGGACAAGCACAAGCAGCTTGCGTTGGAGCAGTGAATTTTTTAGCCGACTTTGGACAGATTCGGCATCTTTTTGTACATCGTGACTATCTTCGTTGTGATCCTCCCGCTTTCCAGAGATGTTTATAGATTGTATGGATAGATGTGAGGGATCAATCTGTCGTTTGCCTCCCTGCTTGCTGATCTAAGGTGTCATTTCTTGGCTTCCAATGGTCACTGTATGTTGTGATTCTGTGACCTGTATGGCCAGGGCCAGTGATGTTGGCTGTATGCCTGTATGTCACAATTCCTCATATGGGAACATGCTTAGAGATAGAAGAGTGGAATGTATTTCGGTCATCTGCAGGGTTTATTCATGTGTCCTTGTTATGACCTTCCATTTTCGCAGTTTTAGGCTTTCAGCACTAGTGTTTGATGAATAAGTTCAGTTGCTGCATAAAAATTGGTTACTACTACAGCTTACATGGATCTGCCAATGCAAGGGTTGCCAGAAAAATTGCCTTAAATATTTAACATTGGTCACTCGTAAGTTATATATTCTTGAGAGTAAAATGTATAGAAGTTACAAAAAGTAAAATAGCCATATTGCATATTTTGTTTTCAGTGAACTACAGCAAATTCTTCTAACCTCCACTATGCAGTACTCTGCAATTGCCTAGGCAAGGTGGCATAAATAAATAAATACAGAGACAATATTGTGCTTGCAAATGTAGATTTTGCCCTACATCGGTTACCTCATTACAATACCTGAAGATTTCACCTCACGCATAACATTAAACATCGTATCCAGGATTGACCTTCTGCTGGACATCTCCATAGCTTTCTAGCTCAAGCATGTCCTCCATGCTCCCCAGGAACAATGGCAGCCTCTGGTGCAGCTTCACAGGTTGAATGGAGAGGATTCTGGTCTTGCCATCTGAGCCTCGCCCCCCTGCCTGCTCGGCAAGGAAACTGAGAGGATTCGCCTCGTAAACCAACCGAAGGTGATCCCTTGGGTTCATTGCGACTCCACCATATATGATCGTCCGATGAAAATCAGCAACCAGCGAGCACACGTACCGAGCCGAGTACTTCTTGGGATGCTGCCCCTTGCCTTGTCTGATCGTGTCAATGTACTTCTTCAGGCCCTCTGGCCAGTCGAAATACCGCGCATCATTCACTGAATATATCTGTCCTGACATTGTATGCAATTGCAGATTTTGAGAGGAAGATAAAAGTGACTGTTAAAGCACCATATATCACAGGGGAAACTGGACACCTAAAGGCAGAGAAGGCACAATTTGAATTTTAGGATAAGAAATTATTCTGCAATGTCCTGTCGAGCCCTACTGGAACTAGGTAAAGAACATCAACCTAGAGTTAATAAAAACTAAGGTGGTCAGAAGCTAATAAGAACCGATATACATCTCTTTTTCTGTAGCGAGAAATACTGATATACTACATCTTAGTTACCTCTGGGGGGTATTTGCATGGAAGGATGCGTCAGAAGAAATTCTCCTGTAGATCTATCCAATGTGAATCCATGGGTTCCTGCGCCAAAACTGATGCAGAAAATAGTGGCAGATGAATACAGGACGTATCCAGCAGCGACCAAGCGAGAGCCGCTCTGCAGTGAATTGAGCTGAGCTTTCTCCTCCACAGGGAGCTGGTCGAGTTCCACCAGCCTGTCGTATATCCCGAATATCGTTCCAGTGGGGATCGACACCTCGATGTTGCGAGAACCATCAAGCGGGTCGGTGACAACAACGTAGGGACCGTCGTCGCACATCCAAACGGGGAGATCGTTTTCTTCAGACGCCACCACCGCAACTTTTCCGGAGCTTTGGAGCGACGACAGGATGATCTCGTTCTGGATTGAAAATGAAGTTAGTATTCAGGTTACATGAATCTACTGCTGTTATTCATGCCAAGATGCATATGTTCCATTGGAGATACTCAGACACAGTAAGAGCAAAAACAGTGAAATTATTGTGGAAACTGACGGTCATTTTAGAGACGAGGTACGGTTTTTGAAATGAAGCAAACTAATCTAGTAGCAGAAATTTGTGAATGTAGATAAATCTAGTAGCTAAAGCATTTCACAGTCCACAATCCAAACCCTACAAAATTCAGCTCGCCAATTCAGAATCCAAGAATCTAGTAGCTAAAGCAGTTCATTCATTCAGAATCAACCTCAGTACGACACCAAAATAAAACACCGGAGGAAGCGGCACGCACCGACAATTCGTCGAGCGGCTTGGGCGCGTCGCGGCCGGCCGCCGCGGACGCGCCACCGGCAGCGGCCGGCTTGGCCCGCGAGAGGTCGGCGTTGCCGGGGGACGCGACGAGCGCGGCGATGCGCTTGCAGGCGGCCTGGATGTGGGCGACGAGGACGGCGAGGTCGGCGGGCGCGCCGGCCCGGCCCATGTGCTCGAGCAGCGTGGGGTGCGACGCCATACCGCCGTCCCCGGCGCCCGCGCCCGCGCGCGGCGGCCGGGCGAGGAGAACGCTGCTGCTGCGGCGGCGCGCGAGCGCCGGGAGGCGAGGGCGGGAGGGACGCGGCGGCGGGCGGCGGTTTGAAGTTGGCGGGAGCGGGAGCGGGAGGGGCGGGCGGAGTGTGCGAGGGGATAACGTCATGGCCGGTAGGTGGTGCTCGATGACTGACGATGGCGACGACGCGTGGGAGAAACGCTCCTTCGATCGCTCTCCTCCGCACGTTCTCCACTCCTTTTTGCCCCCCACGAGCTCCCCTCTTTTCTCCTCCCATGGCGTTTTCCATCCCCGGAGCCAAGCCTCCTCCTCCCGGCCACCGTGACACACCTCGTGGCGGAGTTCGAGCGTGCGCCGTCGATCGAGCCCCGATCGACGCCGGGGCGGCGACGGATGGGTCCTCGGTCGCCCGATCCAGCTCCGGGGCGCCCGGACCGGCGGAAGGCGGCGCTTCCGGCCAGAGGTCAGTGGAATTGGAGAATTCTTTCGTGTGATCTTCCATATATACGTCAATATACACGGTGGGATTCTAAGTCAGTGCAAGAAGCAACTGCTGAGGAAACTGATGGTATTGCGTCAATAGCATAATCATACTTGAAAACCGAACCACCATGAAAGAGGTAGAAATTGTTCGCTACAAGTGTGAACGGCGTTACATCTTTTTCATGGCTGGCCTATCTGCTTCGGCTCAAGCATGATTCTGCTATTGATGCAATACCAACAATTCTTCAACAGCCGCTTCTCGCAAAACTCGAGAACCCCTAATTCCCACGAGAGCTCCCTGATGAAATGATGAAATGCTTCCACGAAATAATGAGATGGGTTGAAAACTGGCTTGTTTCTAATGAGAAGCTCCACAAGCATAACTTCAAAACTATAAACATCACTCCTCCCAGTCAGTTCATACTCCTTGTCTAAGTAGCCAATCCTACCGTGCATGTACAATTGTTGCCACAGGAGTATGTTTCGAGTGATAGAGATCTTAAATCACCCAAGTCAGATACCTTTTTAGAAAATTGTCGATTTGACATCCCTATGGAGAACTGGCACTGTAGCAGCTAAGTGGAGATAAGCAAGAGCAGTCGCAGTTTCTACTGCAATCCTAATGTGATCATCCCATGAAAGCAAGAACCTAACAATCGCTTAAGTGTGTCAAGGACATAGAGTGTTCCATTAGATATGAACTCATAGACCAGCAAAGGCACCAATGTTTCAAAAAAACTAATCATAGACAATTGTTCTGGACTGACTTCCGAAGTCAAGATAAAGCCTCAAACCTGGTGGATATATACCGGGCGTTCTCAGGCCATTTGCAGTCCGAGCTCTCGTTGACTGTCGTCCTGCTAATGGTCGGTGCAATATGTTCTCACTGCCATGTGGTCCTTCCCCTCGATCTGGCGCACAGTGTCGCGGGATTACCTCGCTGACAGGTGGTCCTTCCTTGGACACAGAGGGGCACGGTTCATGTGTCTTAACTCTTAAGCGGTGGCTTCATTTTGTTCCCCTCTGTGTATCTCTGATAGGCGGTCCCTTTCTTCCTGGCCCGCATGTCGATCTTCTCTTCTGGTGTGTGGTGGCTGGCAGATTGGGCGGGTGTAGGTCGGTCAGGTGACACTTTCTTTCTTCTCCCTTTATGTAAGTTTAATTTTCTCCGAAGCTTAGCAGGATTGAGGTGCATTGGTGATTTCAGGATGACATGTCGAATTGTCAAACCCCTTTGTTTTTAAAAGCTTTATACCACAAATTTCAGTCATGGTCAATTTATTGATACGGTCCAGGATGATATGGTCAATTTCACCCATACCTGTGGGTGTGGGCATAAACAATTCTTTTCCAAGATCATTTCATCATCCTAAATAAATCCATGCTCATTGTACTTTGACAGATAAATTGTTTGATCATTTTGTGTTCATCAAATGTCACAATACAACAAGAGATTCAAGGGAAACAAGATACATGGGCTAGGCTATCTGATGTGTACAGATAAATTATTTTTCCAATATCATCACAGAAGGCAGCAAAAAAAGGGACGCGGAGTATGTGATGGCGAGCATACAGGAGCTCGGTATCAGGGACGTCCAGCATTGCTATAAGATTCGGAGCATTTAATGTCTGAGCCACTCGGCTGGTCCAGCGGGAGCACGGGAAGTGAAGATATACTGAACCATACACATCTGACAGATGGGGCAGGGTTGAACGCCGTCGACGGTCCCTGGATGAGCCGTGGCTCGACGTTGTCGCCAGCGTCCTGATCCGTGGACCAGGTACGGTGGTTCCCGCTAGCGCCGGCAGTGCACGCAGTTAATGCAGTGGTTGGGCGACTCGGTGGATAAGGAAGTGAAGTTGGATTTGTGTCTTATCGCGGGGGAGGGAGAGGTGGAGACATTGACTCCGGCGACGGCGAGTGGGCGGTCCGGCGATCTCGCAGGTGTTCCGCCGAGCATGGAATTCTTGCTGCAGCCAATAAACAGGTACGGATCTGCGTCGTGAGCTATTCTTTGCCATGGTTCTGCGTTGAATGATTAGAACTCTACATTCTGCCCGTGAAAAATTTGTGTGGAATGATTAGAACTCTGCTTGAGGAGGTCAATGAAAGTAACGGGACAATGGAGCCCGTTCGGTTCCCAGTGGCCGCGCCGGCGGAGATTCCTGCTCCAGCCCCGGCCGGGTCAAGTGCGGACGGCCAGATCTATCGGCCGGAAGCATCAGGCGGGGACAAGGCTCAGGGGTCAGAGCACTCAATAGAGCAGTTGGACCCCAAGACGCCAGGATGGATGCAAAGGTACTGAACCCCTAGCCTATAAATTGCATGAGGATTTTGTAGTACCATTCTGCAATTGTTTGGATGAGTTCTGCAAGTAGTTACAGATGAAAAGACGCTGGAAAATTATAGATAAGGAATTTCATTTTGGTTATGGTAAATACATGACAGAATGACTATTTTAGAATTATATGATTGAATCAGATTGACTATTTTTAGAAGATATGGTTGAATCTGTGTCGGTGAACACTCTGAAAATGATGGAGGATGAAAATTGATATCAATTGGCTGTAACTGACCACCATTTGGTTCAGTGGTGTTCATATTATCTAACTGAATCAATTGACTGTAAGTAAACACATGCCTTATTGTCTGTGTGATGTGAATGGGCAGGGTGCGTGTAGGTGCTGCTGCTCCAGGCAGGCCTCCTTGTGCGGACAGGGTCACGACGCTGGAGAAGACCGTGAGGGAGTTTGCGGAGCATCCAAGAGACATAGTTATGATGCCAAAGATTGGAACCAGTTTCGACACCCTCGGAGAAGCATATGACTTTTACAATTTGTACTCATGGAAGAAAGGATTTGGTATTCGTTACAGAAAGAGCAGGCTGAATGTGAATAGGACGAAGTGTATGCAAGAGATCGTGTGTGGATGCGCGGTAAGCTGAATGTTATAACAGATTTATATTCCCAATAATTAATGATAGAAGACCTAAATGGTGTACAACTTTATAAGATATATTTTCCATTTTCATACTACTGAAGTGTTTCTGATTTCTATTGAGTAGAAGTAGACCAGTTCACCATGTATGCGTAGCTGTTATCTGTTAAACCAGATACATCCTATTGAACTGTCTTATCTGAATTTTCTGAATGTGTACTGGTCATGTTCAGCATGTATCTGTTTTGTTAGAGTGTAAGATGGTCTGTGGTGCGCATTTTAATTTGGTGTCGCTTGAATATGAATTTGTGCGGACTGAAAATATTGGATATTTGCTTCTTATGGCTGAATACTGAAATTGGGCTCTCATATTGAATGGATTTATATTGCCAGTAAATAAATTACATATTACTTGAATTGCACGTGACAGAAGCTGACTTGTTAGTTTGTTTCGTCAGGGCAAGCCAATCGTTGAGAATACTCGTTCGTGCCGGTGTGAATGCCCGGCCCTCATCAGACTCCTGAGGACAAAGGACAATGGATGGTACATAGCAGAGCATCGAGATGGGCACAACCATGCATTGTCACAAACGTATGGCCAGACAATACACTGGCCGTCACACAAGCATATTGACGTTTACAGCAAGGATCTAGTTAAGCAGTTGAGGCAGAACAATGTCAATTTGTCAAAAGTCTACAGCATTATTGGAAGCTTTTTCGGAAAGATGGAGAATGTGCCATTCACCAAGAGAGCTCTGCGAAATTTGTGTGGGAAGATAAGCCGGGAGCAGTCAGAAGATGATGTTAGGAAAACAATGGAAGTGTTTCATGATCTGTGCTCAAAGGATCCTCAGTTCACGTATCGAGTTCAGGCGGACAAAGAGGGCAGGATCAGCAACTTGATGTGGGCTACAGGTAACAGTAGGCTGCAGTACAACTTCTTTGGGGATGTCATCACATTTGACACAACCTATAGGACCAACCTGTATGACATGCCATTTGGGTTATTTGTTGAAGTGAACAACCATTTCCAAAGTATCATACTAGCTGGTGTGCTAGTTCGGCATGAGACAGAGGAAACATTTGAGTGTGTCTTCTCGGAGTTTGTGAGGATAATGGGGGGAAGGACCATGGGACTCGCCCGGGGGCTACCATCATTGGGTGGCGTCAGGCGCGCCTTGCTTGCGCTAGCCCGCACATGACAGTCCAGTCGGGCCCACCTATCGGTGTCTTCGCCTGGATGGCTCGGACCTGGACGACCCGGCCAGAAGGTCTATGACGGATGGAGCACATGCTAGCATGGGGCCACCGTCATTGGGCGATGTCCATCACGCCCACACGCGCTCACACCACACTTTTCCTAAAAGTATGCTACCAAGCAAGAGTACGATCCTCGGGACAATTTGGTGAATTGACCTGAGTCTCGGGGTCTATTGGGATTAGTGGTTTTGTTTTATATTTCAAGAGCATCCTGGGTTTTTGGCCGGCACAGACCTTTTGGGCTACTGGCTACATATCTGGGCAGAGAATAAATTGCACCAACTGAAAAAAAATCTGTGAAAAATTGGTTTGCGGATACCGGCTTGGCGGAAAAAAATCGCGGAAGCCAGACATTTACATAGACAGCTCAAGACCGAGGTAGTGCGCACCACTATGTGGTGTGGAAATTAATAAGATATTTTTCCATTTTCATCCTACTGAACTGTTTTTGATTTCTGTGGACTAGACTTAAACCAGTTGATCATGTATGTGTAGCTGTTATCTATTAAACCAGTTTCATCCTATTTGAGCTGTCTTCTCTGAATTTTCAGAATATGTACTGGTCATGTTGACCATGTGGATGGTTGTTCGAGTGTAAGATGGTGTGGTGCAGAATTAAATTTGGTGATGCGTGAAATATGAATTTGTGGAAACTAAAATTCTTGGATATTTGATGCTTATGGCTGAATACTAAAATCGGGCTACTGGAATCAGAAGTGTGCCCGTGGGGCATGTGTAAGCCAACCAAAGCAGTCCCTGCAAAGTTAATGAGGTGCAGGAATAAATGGGGCAGGAAAACTGTTGTGGCAGGAATTAATGAGCTAAACGGCTCGTTTGCTCCAGGTCGCGTAGCTAAACGGCACAGCACGTCCACACCCGTCTGGTCCGTCACCGCATTAACTGACGGCGCTTTCTGAGCAGTGGGCCATCTAACTGTTTGGGCAAATAGCCCCGTGAGCATACACCTGCTGCTATACTCAGTGAAACATTGATGGCGAGAGAAACAAATGGCACAGATTCCGGGCTCACAGGCGCTCGAGCTCACATGCGAATTTTCTGTCTATGCCTTTTGGGAACTTCTACGGACGAGACTGGCGGACATACTGACTGAACTCAGCTCTATTTCAGGCCAATCGGTAGGGCGCTCGGTCGAGGGCTGGCCATACCCTAAACGCATATGTTGGTCTACTATGATGATGCGCCCGTGGTAAGCTGCTTCACATCTATTGCTTCTGTAGAATGTTGTGTTTGTGTCAGACGAAACTGATGCAAAACCAAGTGTGTAATTTGTGTCTGTAGTCAACTGAGATTAGCTCCGTCGTGCCAGTAGTGCAATGCAATTGTTAATCTACACCGACTTGTGGAAGTGTCACACCAGAATTCCAGGAATATATAAAGTTACTGTGCTCTTAGCTTTAGTAACTCAATCTCTTGAGCTTAATTTGCCGGGTTTGTTTATGAGCAGATTTGGTCCCCTTTCTTGCAACTGAACCTACCTACCGAGTTGCATTCAATTTATATCATGACAAAAAATGCTATATGCCCATGTCATCATTTGATCATATGCCACTTTGAAAGCGCAAGTGCTCTGCTCTGCTCCCACGCCCATCCAAAACGACATGATCTGCTAGTATAGTACTAACAAAAATGAAGAGCTAAGAAAAAAAATGATGAAGCGTATATTACAGAGTATGATTTCTTTTAAAACCAACTCTCGACAAGCTAAAATTCAGACAAGCATGAAAGTACTGGATGCCAGTTGATTTGTTTCCCAAATTTGGTGATGCCGCGAGAACATGTGGAAGGGCAACAGAGAAATGATTCCTTCCTTGAGAGGTCGATCATTTTTGTCAAGAACTAAATTGCAAATAGAAAAAACGCGTAGTCAGTTTATACCAGCATTTTCATGTCGGAAATATATCATTATTTTTTTTCTTTTTTAGAAGATGCAGCCATGCACAACAAATTTCAATGCTTACTAAATCCGGTAGTGTGATCGAAAATAATATCAGATAAAAGCAATGGGAATGCACTGCAGTGTATTTCCCAAGAGAAGTTTGATTTTGAACCACAATCTTATTCTCAAAGCCGACCCACGATGAAGCGCTTTTTGAGGGAAAGTACTGAATTTCACTGGTATGCTTGATTGGTCCACACGGGAAAAATTACACAAACAGCACTGAAGTGGCTGGATTTTCCATGCAATCTCAAACTGGCTAACATTATCAGCATGTAAGCAACAAATCTTTATCTAGACAGAGATGAACCGGACAACCAGCACACTGAATTCGATCCAAGAGAGCACTGAGCACATAACGTGTTTCTACCCGAAAAGCACCAGATCCTGAACATGAAAGCAGCACATAACAAAGACAGGAGAAATGACCGAAGCCAAGGGACCAAATTGGTTGCCCAAAACTTCAACAATGACCATACTGAAGTAAATTAACCAGGCACAACAAATTGGTGCTAATAAAGTAACAAATACACACAGATACACAATGCACGCACGTGACAAAAAAAATTCAACAAAAAAAAGCAGGAGCAGCTAGGTGGCCAAACTGAATTAACAACCAGACACAAATAGGTGCCAATTAAGTAACAAACACGCAGAGCTATGCAATGCAAGTATGCCTGGCAGCTGGCAAGAATGGTCTCAAAACAAAAGAGCAGAACCACTAGGTGGTATAATATATTGATCAGCAAACATAGCCTGTGAGCTGTGGAAGGAAAGATCCAGACTAACCATTTCAAAAGCTAAAAATGCCATTTGTCTGACAAGAGCGTTTTTCTCAAAGAAGAGCATGACCAAGAGTCCAAGTCTGAATCCTTATTTTAATGACAATGCGGTTCATGCTTCTTAACAATGCAAACTGAAAGTAAATGTTGGGCACAAACAGTAGAGATATATAATAGCATAGATAGATACTCTTGTTGAGCACATTATAACAGTGTTCAAGGCATCATAATAAGCGACAACTGATGATAGCATAGGTGCTACTGGGACCATCCCAAATAACATGTTCTAGTAGTAGTTACTAATAGTTGAGAAGAGCTAAGAATAGAAGGCCTGGCTCATACAGGATAGGTAGATGCTCAAGGGCAAAACAAACCTGAAAGAAACCCTGAACTATCTTCAGAAGTCATGCTCTGTGGAGAATGGAAAGTCCTCGTCTTCTCCTTGCATCTCACCCGAGGGAATCGGCATAATGCTCTCTTGGAGGCGATGGTCGGTAAGCTCCATACAAAACTGTCTCTGACCAATGGTCACCAGTCCTAAGAACTTGCCGTCAGTGTCGCAACGCAAGACATGTTTATCATTAAAGCTGACCAGCAGCTCACGGTCATTAAAGCGGAGTCATCCCACTGAAAAATCTCACTGTTGAATCAAGTGGTAGATTCCTTTTACTTGTCTCTTTGGGAGAAGCTGAATCAAGTAGCCGTGACGCCTCTATCATTGACACGCCGATCCGGTACTTGAAGGCCCAGGTTTCAGCCTCGTAGTCCTGCATCACCCAAACATCCATGGCGGTGGCGGTGGCGGCGGTGTTGACATAAGCCGACGTGCCTAGAAAAGCAGGCGTGCCCTCCATGTCAAACAACCAGTTCATGATGCTGTTGTGGGCAGGGTTTCTCATCCAGCGGAATGTCTCGGCTTCTGTATCGAACACAATAATATTTCCGGTGCTGCTGTCATCAATAAGTCTAGAATTATCCAACAGCCAGTGCAGATTGGCACGGTAGTGGACGGGTGAGAACCGGCATAGCGCATAGAGTAACCAACGCGTTTGTTCCAGGGAAGGCGAAGGCAGTGTTGGCATGACGATTTGAATGCTCCTCAACTCGTTGGCTCTTTCTAGGGTGAGGACGTACAATGTGGCTTCTTTCTTGTGAATGTTGGACAAGAGCAGCCTGTATTTGCCGGTTGATTTGTGGTGGTAGAGGCCGTGAATGTAGATGTCATTGATGCAGGAGGAGCGCGGCAGAGGAGGGCGAGGAAATGGCAGGTGAGCGTGCTTGCGGGTGGTCGGGTTGCAGATGTAGAACCGGTCTCCCCGCGAGACGATGAGGAAGCCATCGCTGGAGGCATGGAGGCGAATCTTGCAGCAGGATTTACGGTACCGGGAGAGGAAGGGCCAGAGCTGCTGGCTGGTGGCTCCGGCGGCAGCAGCGTCACGGAGGGTGACGAAACTGGCTCGCTGCCCCTTCCCGTCGATGATTGGGAGCGACGGCTGCCGGCGGCGGTGCTCGACCATGAATTCCGGCGTGGAGGTGGCGCCGCGCCAGGACGTGCGGACCATGCGGCAGCGCCCGATGTCCTTGGGCGGAAGCAGGATGAGGATCTTGCCGACGATGATGTCGTCGGGCAGGTCGTCAAGCACGGCGGCGCCCGTCCTGTCCGGCATCCTGCTCCGTCGCGTTGGGTCGCCTAAAAAAAGAAGCAGCAGGCGTAAGAAACCCCACAAGATTCAGCGCCGCGCGACGAGCTATGGCTGCCGGTGCTCCGCCGGGTACGGTTCCGGTGAACTAAAAGAAGCAGCAGATCCACCTTTCCGCTCACCAAGACAAAAAGATGGATTGAGCTACGGATTCGGCGCAAGAACGAAGTGCTCCGGCGATCTAATGGTAAACAGATTATAAAAAGAACTGACGGTAACGCACTGCGGAACTGGGCAAGGCCGTTGTGCTCACCTCTGCGCGCGGGAGGAAGACGGTGCTCGCTCCGGCGAGAAACTCCCGGCGAGGTATCGTTGTAAGGGGAACGGTGGTCAAACTAGCTAGCTTTGATGGAAGAGCAGAGCAGGAAGCCAGCTGCTTTGATGGAAGTGAGGTGAGGTGAGAAGGATCAAGAAAGTCAAAAAAGTCATTTATCACCGCTCCATTTGCTGGCTCGGTTGCAGAGACGATGCGACGACATGGTTCGTAGGGGTGCAGAGTAGGGGTAACATCTTCTTTTATTTATTTCGAAAGAAATGAACATTCTTTTTCTTTTTTTGGGTTTGAGAGAAATGAGCTAAGAGCAACTCCAATGCGGCCGCCCATTTCGTGCGTCCATGTCTATTTGGATCAGTGCGGATAAAAACGACGGCCCAACGCAGAGACCCATTTTCATTTTGGGTTCATTTTATATGAGCGCGGACCCATTTTCGTGTCAAATTTAAGCCAGATTTAGATCCGAGGCGGACACAAAGTGGGTGTTTTCTGTCTCCTCGTCCGTCTATGTCCGCTGCACGCCTCGTCTGGCCCACATGCCATCCACCCACCTCCTTATTTTATTTTCTCTCTCTTCGCTCCTCGCCTCTGCCGCCCCGTAGCAGCCACGCCATCGCCAATCCTTTGCTCCGGCGAGACTCCGCAGGCGCCGCCGCCACTCAAGCCCATGGCCACGTTGGCCTCGCCGCGCTCGCACCCTGGCCTCGCCGCGCTAGCCGCGCTCATCCCGCTCGGCAAGCTCGCACCAAAGCCCATTGTCGCTAGATCCGCGCGGACGCTGGTCGCCACCCCCCGTCCCCGCGCCGCCCCTGGTCACGCGCCAGACCCTGGCAGCGCCCGGCCTCGCCGCGCCAGGCCAATCCGCACCGCGTCGGACCGCTCCTGCACCAGGCCGCACCCGACCCCGGCAGCGCCCAGCCTCGCCGCGCCCAGCCACACCCGGGCGCGCCTGCGCCAGGCTCGGCAGCGCCTGCGCCCGACCCCGGCAGCGCCTGGCTTGGCCTCACCGCGCCGCGCCATGCTCGTGGCGCTCGCCGTGCCGCCCCGGCTGTGGGGTTCGAGCTCGCTCGCCGGCCTCCCCCGCGCGCGCTGCGAGCTCCCCTACCCTGCTTGCTACGTGTTTGAGGAAATGTCAGGACGGACATGTCGAAAATGGGTCTGGCTACCGTTGGGCGCAGTTGCAGACCCAAATGAAAAAGCGGACACAGACGTGCGGACGGGCGACCCAAACGGATAAAAAACGGACAAAATCGGTGTACATTTGGGTCGCCTTGTTAGAGTTGCTCTAACAAGACAACTTCAATGGACCGACGCATTCCAATTTTTTACGCTTTCATGTTCGTTTTGACCATTTCCAACTCAAAGTTGATCTGGTTTTAGGTTCACGCGGACACGCCTCGAACGCTAGCTACGTCCAACCCTGACCCGCCCGTCAGTGGCGCACTGGCCAGTCCAACCCCTTCCAGTACGAGCTTGACTTCCCCGGCCTCTTCTCCCTCGCCGCCCACAAGGTGTTCCGGCATTTGCCCGGCCGAGACTTATCCATGCTCGCCACTGTCCAGTGAGGTACGTATTCACGCCACTCGAAAGGATCATGGTGGATAGCTTGGACGAGTTTCTTTTTTTATAATAATTATGTCACTTCTTCTTCAGTACAACACCCTAAACACAACAATGGACGAGATATGTCCATACCCTTTCATAAATAAGGGTAGGATGGTCTTTCTAGAAAATACGTCGCGGATATCTGTCACGTTCTGAGTCGACCTTGGACCGGCCCATTAGTGAGAATGTACAGTAGCACAGGACGGAAATCCAAAAAATAGTGTACCTACTAGGCGTTGTGAAAGTGCTAATAGCCACCAGAACTATCGCGTGTTGGTGATACTTAGTAGTGCAGTTATTTATCAACAACGGATGTACTATATGAGTTCTTTTCAATAGAAATACAGTAGCATATCAAATTACTATTTTTAGGGTCAGTAGCATATCAAAATTGGTACTGTACAACTGTGCCGGACATTCTATCGAAAGCGCTTTTTATAGCTAAAAAACCTAATGTGTTTTTTCATCTTTTGGAATATTTTTCGAAAACATGAATATTTTTTAAGATACAAAACGTTTCTCAATATTTGGACTTCTTTTGGAAACACGTTTCTTTTCAAATTTCCGAACCATTTTTCTGAAAAATACTTTGATTTTGTGAATATTTTTGAAATTTTAAGAATATTTTTTCAGAATTATATACATTTTTCTGAAATAGCAGACATTTTTTAGAAAAGATGAATAATCGATCACATTTGTGAACATTTTCTTGGAAACATAAACAATTTAAAATATCCAAACATTTTTGTGAAAAACGCAAACACTTTTTCAAATTGGCGAGCATTCTTTGGAAACACAAACAATTTTTCATATTCACAAATATTTTTCCAAATATACTACTCCCTCCGTTTCGAAATATAGTGCGTCCTCGGTTTCCATGTTTAAACTTTGACCATAAATTTAATCAATGGGACCGACTGCGGCGGGAGCAAATTATGTAATAGAAAACGTATTTTGAATATGAATTCACTGGTATAATTTTTGCTCCCGTCGCAGTCGGTCTCGTTGGTTAAATTTATGATCAAAGTTGAACCTGGGGAAACATGAGCGCGCTATACTTGGGAACGGAGGGAGTAACATTTTCTGAAAACAATTCTTATTTTCAAGGGCCTAAGCATTTTTTCGTTGCAATTTTTTTTCTCTTTTTATTAATTCGTCTTCTACTTTTGAACTTTATTATTCTTTATGAAACTTGTTCAAAAATTCGAAAAATTGTTTGGCATAACATAAAATGTTCTTGTTTTCAAATATTGTTTAAATTCTAATAAAATCTGAAATTTCATAAAATGTTCCAGTTTTCTCGAATTTTTATTTGCAAATTTAAGAAATGTATGCGTTTCAAAAAAATGATAATTGTTTTTAAAAAAGTATGTGGTTTGCCATTTTTTTTCCGAAGTTTTCATCATTTTTTCGTAATTTGTTAACAATCTTGGAAAAAAGTGCTCAAGTTAGTACAATTTTCATACACACCAAAACAGTTGACAAAATTGTTTGGAAAAAATAAAATGTTTATGTTGAGTGATAATGACAGGAGTTACAAATAAACTCATCTAACTGGTATATTTTAGGCTATGGATAAATGAACCCAGCTTCTTGTAAGAGGCTGGCATGGACATATGAGGCATCCATGCCAGGTTTGAAGGACTTCCGACACCCTTTACATGTTGTGACACGTCTGACCATTTATCGGCCTATTTTCACCGAGAAAACTCGAGAAAATGCAAAACTTTTCAAAATTCTAAACAACTTGGTAAGTGTTTAGGGTTATTTGACGGATGTCGAAAAACAAAGAGCTTTCAAACAAACCCTTCTGCCCTATCCAAACACCCTCCGTTGGACATAGTTTATTTTTGGACATCCTTAAAATGAACCCCACTTCTGCAAGAAGGTAGGCCTGCCCATGGTAGGCACATGTCTGGTTTGGACGATTTTCGACACCATATGCAAGTGGTGACACATCCGGTCATTTATTGGTCTTCTTAACCAAGAAAACTTCAGAAAATGCAAAATTGGGCGAAACAAAAACAAATTGGCATGGTGCCTTGAATTGGTCATACAATGCCATTAGAAATGGAGCCATTTAAGGGATGTCAAGAAATGAGGTGCTCCCAAGCATACCCTCCTGGCCTATCCAAACACTCTCCATTGAACATGGTATTTCTTCGGAGATCTCAGGACAGGTCCCAACTTTTGCAAGCAAGTCGGCATGCCTATTTTTGGCATCCATGCCTGGTTTGAAGGACATGCTCTCAGACGGAGCCTTCTGTCCCAGAACACACTTCGTTCAACATGGTCTATTTTTATACATCCTTGAAATGGTCCCAAGTCCCAACTTTTGCCACCAGGTGGGCATGCCCCTCATAGGCATCCATGCCAAGTTTGAACAATTTCCGACACCGTATGCAAATTGCGACACGTCCTGCCTTTTTCTGCATTTTCTTACCAAAAATACTCTAGAAATATACAAAACACATCAAAAATCAAAACAACTTGTCATGGTGCCTTCAATTGGTCATACGAGGCCATGAAATAATTAGGGCCATTTTAAGGATGTCGAAAAACAACGTTGAAAGAACGTGGATGTTGCCTAGAGGGGGGGGGGGGTGAATAGGCGCTTTAAAATAATTACGGTTTAGGCTTGAAAAAATGCGGAATAAACCTAGCGGTTAATTTGTAAAGCACAAAACCTACAACAACTAGGCTCACCTATGAGCACCAACAACTTATGCTAAGCAAGATAAGCAACTATGTGATAGCAAGATATATGACAAAGAACAATATGGCTATCGCAAAGTAATGTGTATAAGTAAAGGGGCTCGGGTAAGAGATAACCGAGGCACGTGGAGACGACGATGTATCCCGAAGTTCACACCCTTGCGGATGCTAATCTCCGTTTGGAGCGGTGTGTAGGCACAATGCTCCCCAAGAAGCCACTAGGGCCACCGTAATCTCCTCACGCCCTTGCACAATGCAAGATGCCGTGATTCCACTAAGGGACCCTTGAGGGCGGTCACCGAACCCGTACAAATGGCGACCCTTGGGGGCGGTCACCGAACCCGTACACTTTGGCAACCCTTGGGGGCGGTCA